TGAGGCATCCCTGGGACTTTCTAAGAGGCTGAGGGCAAGGCATGTGTTTTCATGACGACTAGTCAACCTGATTATTTCACATTGTCCTTCCTGAGAGCAGGAAGCTGGTCAGTTGGCTTTGGGGGCTTCCTTTCACTTCTGAGTTTATGTGCCTCTTTGTGGGGGCTGGATAAGATTCTGCTTGTGCCAGATATTTAATAAGCTTTACTGGCTGTCTGACTCAAAAGTGCAGTTCCTAATAAGAGCCACAAACCATACAGAGAATTCCAAGAATTAGCTGGTTACTCATTGGTGGTGGATCAAGGGGGGGACAACAACACATGCCCCCTGCCCACTTCCCAGTGACTTCTCCCACGTTCATTGCAAAAGGGATGGTCACAACCAGTCTGAGGGACCCCACATGGCCCCTCATGATGTGCTCCCTGGCAGGGGACGTGTCCTGAGGATCATGTACGTCAAGGAGCTCAGCTGCAGAGCAGCTACTTTACTCGCCATAGAATGGGGCTCTGGGTAGTTGGGGCTCATCCAGGTTGCCTCCTCCTGGTGTTCTTGTTTCTTTCCAAGGAAACCACTTTTAACCGTGGTGTTCTTCAAACTGGGCACCAGTACACCCTGGTCCCTGTGGCCCTGAGATATACAGTCTTGTTTGACCTGTGCTTCAAGCTGAACCCCTCTGGAAGTGGCTGGGAAGCAGAGGGGGCGGGAGCCCAAGCAGTGGAGTGACAGTGAGCTCAGACTCAGTAAATGGTCAACTTTTGTAGAAGCATCCCAGGCACTGCCAAGATTTGCAGAAAGTGCCTGCACTGTTCTGTCAAACACCTTCGCAAACTGGCCCTCCATTCTTTGCAGACAGCTACTCACCACCCTTTTCATTCATCTTACTCTTGTGTTTCCTTTTTTTTCTTTTTCTTAAAGTCATACCACTTGCCAGGATATCCCCAATCAACCTCTATCTTCTCTCATCATTCAAAGGCTTCCTGAAACCACCTCTTCCAGGAAGTCTTCCCTGACTAACTAGAACAATGAAAACCTCTGGCATCCTTCCACGCTAACCACTCTCCAAGAACTTCCCCTTTGTTCCCACAGAATGTAAATGCTGCAATTTATTTATCATTAAATATGTGTTTGGAACACATTCTCAGGAAGGATATAGCAATAGGTGATGCCTTTGGAGACCTCAGCTGGTGTCTCGCTGATGTGCAAATGACCCCAACACATCACAGCAGCAAACAAGTGTTAATGCTACACAAGGGACTCTGCAGGTAGTTGCTCAGACCGTGTCTTCAGAACCTGAACTTCTACATTTCTAGTGGTGCTGCTTATATGTTCACCATTAGCCAGACGCTTCAGTCCTAGTCATTCAACAGAAATTCACTGAAACCTACTATGAGCCGAGTCCGGTGTTAGATATGAAGATGTAGTGCCCATTGAAAGTTTTTAAGACTATTGTGGTGGGTCATCAATTTGGTGGCCCTAAAGGAGCCAAGCCTCTCAGCATTCATGCCCTTGTGAGGCTCCCACCCCCTCTCCCTTTTGAATCTGAGCTGGCCTGTGATCTGCTTTAATTAATAGAATATATTAATAGAATATAGAATAGAGAATAGAAATGATGTGCCAATTCCAGGCTGAAGCCCAAGAAAATCGGGAAATTTCTTCTTTTGTGTTCTGGGGAGCCCTGAGCTACTACTTTTGGAATGATTTGTTATACACAAATTCATAACCAAAACAAACAAACTATAATTCCCGAAAGCAGGAGAGGAGCCTATGATCATCCAAAGTGGCTTCAAGATACTTTGATAAACCAAATACTTAGAAATTTAATGATCAAACAGAGTAATGGTGCCAACAGGCCTTTTGAAAAACCAGCCGGCTCTATCAAGTTCTTGGCTTAAAATAATAACCAACTAGTTATTTTCTCACAGTTCTGTGATCTGAGCTGGGCTCAGCCGGATGGTTCTTCTGCTGGTCTTGCAGGAGGCAGGGTTCAGCTGGAACTTAGGATCGCCGAGCTTCTCCCTTTCACTGTCGTCTCAGGGCCTCCCCCGTGATTTCTCCAGGAGAGCAGCAGGCCTTCTAACATGGTAGCTGTGCTGCAGTGGTGAGTGCATCTGACATGCGGGTCAAAGGGCCTTTACGGTGTACCATAGGGGGAGAGTCTGGAGGCGGGGATTGGAGTCACATCACCACACTTGACTATGTAGAGTCTGCAGGGCCTTGGAAAGGTGTCTGGGCATGTGTTCTCTCTCTCACCACTATCTCTGCATCATAAGAATGGAGGCGATAGCAACCCCTACCTCACGGATTGTTTGGAGGATTAAATGAGATGATACATGAGATGCCCTTCACATGTTCCTGGCACATAGGAAGCATTCAACATGTGGTAACTATTAGTATTTTATTTTATTCTTTTAATGATTTTATTTATTTATTTTTAGAGAGAGAGGAAGGGAGGGAGAAACAGAGAGAGAAACATCAGTGTGTGGTTACCTCTTGTGCGCCCCCTACTGGGGACCTGGCCTTCAACCCAGGCATGTGCCCCGACTGGGATTCGAACCTGTGATGCTTTGGTTTGCAGGCCAGCCCTCAATCCACTGAGCCACATCAGTCAGGGGTCTATTAATATTTTATTACAGTTACCCTCAGCAAATAAGTTAATAAAATTGTATTTAAACATTTAAAATTTTCAAAATTTACTTATTTATTTTTTTGAGAGAGAGAGAGACAGAAAGAGAGAGAAAAAAAATGATTTGTTGTTCCACTTATTTAGACATTCATTGGTTGTTTCTTGTATGTGCCCTGACTGGGGATCGACTTTGCAAACTTGGGGTAATAGGACAATGTTCTAACCAACTGAACTGGCCAGGGCTTGTATTTAAACAGCTATAGGGAAGTATTTTTGTATAATTCTGGGCATATACTAAATTTTTCATGCTCGTTTTAAAAATATGTTGCTTTAAACAGTTCTATAATTCACACAATTAATGGCCTTTCACCCAGTTCTGCTGTAATGTTACAGTTGTGGCTTTACTTAATCTCTTTCTTTGGGTACGCTTTTATCTTGAATAAAAGAGTAGAATCAATTGTGACCTCATGTAGCTTGAACAAATCTGACATTCTGAGTTTGTTTTAGGCAACATTTTTTAAGATTTTATTTATTTATTTTTACAGAGAAGAGAAGGGAAGGACAAAGAGAGGGAGAGAAACATCCATGTGTGGTTGCCTCTCACACACCCCCCACTGGGGACCTGGCCCGCAGCCCAGGCATGTGCCCTGACTGGGAATGGAACCAGCACCCTTTGGTACACAGGTCTGCACTCAATCCACTGAGCTACACCAGTTGAGGGTGTTTTAGACATTTTTTTTTTCAAATCAGATTTATAGGGAGATAAGAAAGCAAAAGGGTTTTGTGAGAGGAAAAGAAACCCAATGTTTTCTGAGAATTCTGAGGCTCTGATCTGATGTATCTCGTAGTAAAGGGAACCACAGGCGTCACTGCACATCACACACACCCTCTGATGAGGTCTCCGGAGAGTAATGCCTTCACAGACAGCATGGGGTGCATTGATCACGGTCCCTTTGTGGTCTCATCTCAGCTTGTCCCTCCCGTGTCCTCTCTCTCTGACTCAGGGAGCAGCTGGGACTCTGTGAAGGCACAGAGTCCACTGTTTCCGGCAGGGCACACCTGGAGTGCTGTGGGCTGGGGGTGGGGGTCACAAAGTCATTCGCCCAGACAGAGAGAATGCAACACTTATTTATGTTTTTGAACTTTTGTTCCCTTTGACCGTGACTGACAAAAGAGAAATGAGGATTCATTTTAGCAAGAAGTATTTCTAGAAAAATATCTGTCAAATCTGAAAAGTTCCTTTAAAAGGAGGGTTAATTGGGTTGGGCTTATAAGGAAGAGAATTGCAAGGAGGTGTTAAGGTTTGCCAGTAAATTACAGGAATTTCTTAGTACTCCATCACAGTTTCCCAAACCAGGGAAAACAATTTCTTGCAAGCAACTAATTCCACAGAAGTCTGCAAACCCACAAGTTTCACTCTCATCTTCCCTTTGGGTGCCTGGAACCCCCGCAACAATGCGGATTCGCCCCACCCCACCCCACCCCACCCCACCCCATCCGGTCCTGGGCCTTTCCCTGCTCCCCTCTGGCCACACTGTTGGATTCCCGCTGGTCACCACAGATGTCTCTGTGGCCAATGGCGCACGCCGGTGGGCAGGGTTTGCGCATGGGTTTACTGGAGAGTATCCCAACACCTTAGCACGCTATCTGGATTCACTGAGTATGTGTAGAATCAAAGGTGTGATTGTGAAATGTGATTTTCAAGAATTGTTCGGAATGTGACTGGGAAAGACCCGAGGCTCTGGAGCAGAGTGTGTGGGCGCCGAAGCACAGGCGTCCGACAGGTCGGCCGCGCACGTGTTGTTATTCTGCTACTGCGATTCCGTTCTTTTCTTTCCCTTTTTCTTTGTGGGCCTCCTCTAATTTTCTGCACCCTCACAGGTTGGGGCGGAGCTGGGCAGATTTGGCATAGTAGAGAGCATCGGGAATTCATACCCACACTTATTTGAACCTCTTTTTCCTATCAAAAAACAAAAATTTCTTACGAGTTCAACGTTTTCTAGAACGTGTTACGAAAGAGGTTTAGTCAAAAAGACCACAGCCCGTGTCATCAACGGACTCCGCAGGTCCTTCTTTCTTTGCCTCCACTTTCTCTCCAGCGGGGGTGGGAGGGGGGGTGGGGGAGGGCCGGCAGCAGTGGAGGGGCAGGACCCCCTGCTGGTGCAGCACTGGCTGCAGGCCTGGGTCCACCAGCCCCTGCGTTGCAGAGGAGGCTCCTCGTGTTGACACTGGCCGGAGCCTGGCCGGAAAGGTTCGACATTTACACCAGCTGCTGTGATGAGGGCATTGATCTTATCCTCTGTCACCGCCACCTCATCCTCGTGCAGGATAAGGGCCCAGGAGATGTGCAGGCGAGCTCCGAGGCGGCGGCCAGGCTGTGGGCGAGTGCGGGCGAGTGCTGCAGCGAGTGGGGCTAGTCCAGGGCCTCACCCCAACGCGACCTTGGCTTCTTCCTAGGCGGGCCGAGCACCTTAGCGGCAGCTGGAGAAAAGGGCTCAATTTTTATTTTATTTTATTTTTTTTTTTGACAGGGAAGGAAATGAAGCAAGACAGAAAGTCAAAGCCTCCCTTCTTCCTACCTGGTTTTCTGGTGGAAAGGCTCAGCTGTAAAATGGCTGGGAAGGAGCGTCACAAGTAGGAACAAAGCAATGAGGGAGAGCTTTGCTGGGAAAGAACCATGGAACCAGCCGGCGCTCCCGGAGGCAGAGATGGGAGGGGCTGTCGGGCAGCTAGGACCCTGAAGGGGCGACCACTGGCTGCTTCACGGGAGAACTAACCCTCAGAAGGGTTTGAAGGGCCAAAAGTCTCGGATACTTAGGGACTGGTGAAGAGGGGCATGTTCCGTCAAGGTGACAGGAGGGGCAGAAATGGACAGAGGGCTCCAGCGCCATCACTGGGGGGGGGGGGGCGGCCCACAGAGGCGCACATGCGGACAGCAGGGGGGCCTTGCAATCCGTGACTGGGAGTGAGTCCAAGGCTGGAAGCCACTCTCTGAAAGAGGCTGGTTGAGGTGATGATACAGAACACCTGCCCGGGGTCTGCTCTGGCTACCCCAGGCACCCCAAAAGTCAAGAGGATGCAGGCAAAGGAAGAGGACCGGAGGGCAAATGTATCTCTGGCATCACAGTCAGGCTGAGAGGCGGGAATGCCATGCTCTTCTTCTCCGGCCACGCAGGGATCTGGGGACTAGACTTCCGCTCTGGTAGTCAGAAAATGCTAGTTCCAGCTCAGGCAGTTTCCTAGGGATTTGCCCCCAGCCCTCTAAATCCCACCTCCACGCCCACCCCCTGCAAGAGTAAGCCCATCTTCTAACCTGAATTCGTAATGAATATGAAGGCGAGTCAGTAATGCCTGAGCCATGACCTAGGGGAACTGATGAGTTAGAAATCTGCAATATAAAATCATTCATTCAATCGACTATTGTTAGTGAAAGGCCCGCAGGGTGCAGGCTAGAGGCACAGCGATGAAGACAAGAGGACTCTTCACCCCTGAAACTCCAAATAAATACAGTATTGATTTACCCAAATCCTTTCATAGATAACCCCCACAAACCCTTCAGTGGTTCTCCAGAAAGACATTTTTTCTTCATTTTTTACACACAGAGGCTTGATAATAGAATCCATTTGCAAAACAAATGGTTAGGGGAAGAAAAAAAAGAACTCCAAAGAAACCCTAACTAAACCTCTCGGCTGTAAACAGATGCTCAGATAAGATGCTCAGTCTTATCTGAAATATACCGAGATAACGGCACTGAAAACCCTGCGACAGCCTCTGGCATATTGCTCTTTAATTCTCGATGATATGAAGATAGTGTCAAAGAAAATTCAGTCACTTGCATTCATGTTATAGCTTTTAAATCGTTAAAAAAAATCTAATTTATTTTAATGCAAGTATTTTATGCACATAATTAAAAGAATCAAATCTATAAGGCTCGTAACAACAAAAAAATCAGCCCCTTGACCTACTTCCCTTACCTAGGTTCATCTGCAAAGTGAACTATTTTCTGCTCTCTCAGCTGCCTTTTTCTAATCAGAGTAATACCCACCTTGTGCCATCTCTCGATTCAGCTTCTTTAGAGATTATGCACTGACTTTCCATTGTGACCAGAATTTCACTCCCAAACACTCCCATTTTGCAGATGGTATCCAGATGGTCACACACTACAACCATGTGGGTTGTTTTCACACGGCAGAATGAAGTGCTGTACTGGTTGGCACAGAAGCGTCCTCATGCCCCATCCAGGCCAGCCCGTCTGCTCCAGTCCCTGTCCTGGACACCCCGGACTTCCCCAGGACCCAGCAGCTGAGGGGGCCCCCAGAACCCTGCTCCAGTGCTCTGGTCACTAATCCCTTCCGACTGCCAGTTGCCTGTGCCATACCGTTCATTTCCAATCCTCTTTTCTTCCCAATGGTCCCAATTTTTTGTGCCCCAATTCATATTTGAGGTGTTCGTTGTTGTGTCTATGGAAATACTGTTCACTGCAGAGCCTGTAACACTGACTACATTTTTCTTCTACAGCTTTCTGCTTTTACTGCAATGAATAAATACCTGCTTTTTTATTTAACACCTGAATACTATCTCTCTTCCTTATATAATTTCCCAGGTAGTTAAAACTATCACTCATGTTGTCAGTTATATTTTCTTCTCCTGAAAAGATCTTTTCTGGAGACCTATGTATGTGTTCATCTTCCGACCCGGTGTGCTCAAACTCTTCTCCTGATCCGCTGAGTTGTATTCTGTGAACTTGAGTTTACTATCAAAGCCTCTTTTCTAGAGCCTGTGGCTGCTCTTTTGGTTTATCCCTTAGAGTAGAGCACATCCTCTAGTATCCTCAGACAGGATGCTTTTAAAAGGTAATGCTTTCTCTTTCTCAGATTTGGCATGTCTGAGAATGACTTTTGGCTAACCTCACGCTTGGCCAGCTGGGAACAGAATACTAGGTTGCAAATCATTTATACTGAGAATTTCCTGACTGTATTGCTCCAGGGACTTCTAGATTCAGGACTGGTTTTTTTTAATAATAATTATCCAGTTCCCCTTTCTTTATGATTTTTTTCCCCTGGTGGAAGCTTTTAGGGACTTCTCTTTAACATTTCTGTGATACGCCCCGGTAGGGGCAATTTCATTTTGTCATCTGTCTTTTGCTGAATACTCAGTAGGTTTTTTCCATCTGGAGTCTTGGTATCTGGGAGTTTCTTGTATTATTTCTATGTCTTTCCTCTCTTTTTAAGTGGACATACTTCACATAGGATGTAATTCGCCCATTTAAAGTGTTTTAGTGCGTTCCCCAAGCAACCATCACCACCATCAGTGTTAGAGCACTTCCATCACCTGAGAGAAAGCCACACCCACCAGCACTCACACCCCATTCCTCCCATCTTCCCCCTCGTCCGGCCCTAGGCGGCCGCCGATCTATTTTCTGTTTCTACAGACTTACCTGTTCTGGACATTTCATATAAATGGAGTCATACAACGACCACAGTCTTCTGCAAGTGACTCCTGTCACTTGGCGTGTTTTCAAGTCTCATCCACAGTGTAACACGCGCCATACTACTTTTTAAAAAATTCTTACCCAAGGATATTTTTTATTATTGATTTGAGAGAAACATCGATCATTGCCTCCTGTACATGCCTCAATTGGGGATCAAACCTGCAACGTCGGTATGTTCCTGGATCCTGACTGCAAATCAAACCTGCAAACTTTTGGTGAACAGGGTGACTCTCCAACCAACCGAGCCCCCCCACCCGCCCCCAGCCAGGGCGTACTGCACTTACTTACAAATAATATCCCACTGGTCGGATGTGTCACATTTTATTCACTCCTCAGTTGACATTTAGGTCGCTGCTACAAACGTTCATGTACAAGTGGTTGTATAAACATGTCCTCAGCCCTGGCTGGCGTAGCTCAGTGGATTGAGCGTGGGCTGCGAACCAAAGCATCGCAGGTTCAATTCCCAGCCAGGGGACATGCCTGGGTTGCAGGCCATGGCCCCCAACAACCGCACATTGATGTTTCTCTCTCTCTCCCTCTCCCTCCCTTCCCTCTCTAAAAATAAATAAAATCTTAAAAAAAACCCCACAAAAAAACATGTCCTCCGTTCTCTTTGCCTGAAAATGAATTCAGCAGACTTCCACTTTTTTTCCCCTCCTTTGTTGAAGTTCATGGCTCCCCATCAGCACTTTTAAGTGTGAAGTTCTCACGAGCTGACCTGCCTATCTCTTCAGGGTCACATGTAGCCAGAGCTTCAGACGAGACCCATATATCGACTCACCTGGTGGTTCTCCAGGACGCCTGCTCTCACAACCGCCTACTTTGCCAGATTCTCTTCACAGGCAGGGATCTTCCTCCCTGATTACTTGCCCCACGTGTTCAAGACTGCGCAGATGTCACCTCCCCCACGAACATCTATGACTTCTCCCCGAACTCCCCACGCGAACGTCCACAGGGCACTGGCTGCACTGTGTCATCACTGCTCATGTGTGCACTCTCCTCACCGGAACATGAGCTTCTTCAAGACAGTGCTCATCCTGAGTGTTTTCACTTCCTTCATCAAACCAGTAAACAGTGCTTTATATCATTCCTACTATAAACACCCAGTGCCGAGTGCTAGTCTAAAGGCTGAACTATGAACTTACCGACTTCTCATAAACAGCCCTGCGGCAGGTATTACCACCCCCAACCCCCAGCGCCGTGTTGTCCCAGGCTATTTAAGAATACTAGTAGAGCAGATATCTGAACTCGGACGATCTGGCTCGGAGACACCTTTCAACAACTCTGACTTTTGAACTGAAGAGGTGCCTACCATGTATTTCTTGAATGAATGAATAAATGAAGGGGAAAACCAAGGCCTTCAATAGAGGTCAAACCCAGTCTTAGAGAGAGCTACATTTTAAAGCAAATCAAAAGTTGATTTTATGGATTTTTTTCTCTCTTCAGCCCAAGCCATTAAAGACCCAGGGAAGAGGTCTTTGTAAGATTTCTGTTGTCTAGTGTTATGAACCGAATGTCCCCTCAAAATTCCTATGTGGAGACCCTAACCCCCAGTGTGGGCATATTTGAAGATGGGGTCTCTAAGGAACTAATTAAGGTTAAAGGAGGTCACATGGATGGGTCCCGGACCCAATACAGTTCATGTTCCCGTAAGAAGAGACATCAGCACCAGCCAACAAGGGAGACCTCACCAGAAACCAAATTTGCCGGCACCTTGAGAATGGACTTCCAGCCTGTAGAACTGTGAGAAATGACACTTCTGTTGCGTTAGCCACCCAGTCTGTGGTTTCTGTTATAGCAACTCAAGCAGACTAATACAACTCCTAATGGCTGAAGCTTAGGAAACAAATTTTCCTCCACTGATTTCAGAAACCAGCTGCTACAACCGTGTTCTCCCCGCCTTCGGCTGGATTTGAACTTCTTATGTTGTTTGCTTGTTTTGGTTTTTGACGAAATAAAATTTTAAGGCTCTATCTAATCCAGCCTTCTTTTTACCATAGGGAAGTCAACATTCAATTTTCTATTTTTTCCTTCAACATTTCCTACAACTATAGACTTCCTTACTTTTTTTATCAGCTTAGCTAGCTAGTTCTTGGCCTATGCAGAAATTCAATTTATATTCCTAAAAATATATATTACCAATATATTATTACTGATATCACTGCTGTCTACCTTATTTACTAATACTAGCACATTGTTTTTCCCAGTGGTATTTCATGTGAAAGCCGGTATTTCATTATGGAGGGAAACTTGAGCTTTCCAAGGGACTTTTGAGTTTCAGCTCTCTGTCCGGGGGTTTTAAAATAAAACAAAATTTTTTTTATTATAAAAATTTCCAAACAGACACAAGAGTAGAAAGAATATATTCAACACACAGATTGAACATTATCAAGATTTTTGCCACATTTGCTTAAGCGCTTCCTTTTCCTCTTCTTTTTTTCTTTGCTGACATATTTCAGAGCAAATCCCACAAACATCAGGTCCATTCAACAATACGTATCTCAATATGTATCACTTTAAAAAGGGAAACATTTTCTTTTACAATCACAACGCAGTTGTTCAATCTAGGAGAATTAACAATTCTTTTGTTTGCAGGCTTTTGGAGTGAAATAACTCATACAGAATTTTATACTATGAAAAACTTAGCACTGCCTTAGAATAGCAAAATTCTGTAGTCTCAAAACAGTTTTAAAATGAAATTTAATATGTTCTGAAATGCAAGATGCTGACACCATCCAACTAAAGCTGAGCTCAAGAATGCCTAAGACAAGTCTTAAAAAGACACAGTATCAAGACTTTAGTCACTGCATATTATTTTAATAAAAAACTATTTTACACAAATATACAGATCTCAAATTGTAACATCAAAATACAGAATGCAATAAAGAAGCTATGTGAGTTTTTCTCACTGAGACATGCTTTCTGTCACATTTTGACATTTGTGATTATTAAGACATGATGAACACAGGAAGTACAGCTTTTCCAACCTCATGATTATAGTGAATTCCTTTGCAAATGAATGAGGGCATAGTCATCAAAAAGGGAAGTTGACAAGTTAGGTGGCCCTGGCTACATTATATTAATGTGAGTAAGAGACACACTGAGAGCTTTAAGAAACAGTAGTCAAATGTTAGAAGTATGGGCACTACAGCTTTCGCAGACTTCTACTAATGACTATATCCTTGATATACATACATCCTTAAATACAAAACAGTTCAGTACGATTGCATCTATATTTGTTTCACAGGACAATTGGTTAATGTATTACTCTGATATATTTTTCAACTAGAATCATGTACAAAGAAATAATGAGAAATCCATTTTAAAAAACCTCTTTTTCCCCAAGGCAAATTACGTTTAAAAGTTAAGAGGCCTATGGAAAACCAAAGTGTGAGCAAAAAATATTGGCTACATGCCAATTTTTATTTGAGAGAAAGTCTTGCACAAATAATAGTTGTCTTACCTCGCAGCAACACAAAAACAAAACCCTAAAATTGATCCCACAGATCTAAATTAGTTGAACTGGAGTGACAAAGTCAAAGCCAGTCCTGTCATTTGTACATTAATTTGATAAAACAAATTGCACTGAAAACAAACAAATAAAATACCCCGCACGTGCTCCTGTGCAGAACTGGCGATTCCGTTCAGCACTCGCAGGAGGACAACTGTTACACGGCTCTTTTTTATGAAAGCAGTGTACCCAGAAACCCAACAGAACGTGTCACTCACGAAATTCCGTAAAAGCTGCAAGGCAGCCACTCGTTGATGGCACTTAAGGACAGTAGGAGATTGCACTGTTAATACCCACTGATGGGCTTTGTGCCAGTACTTTAAAACCACGCTTTTCATCGAGTACAGATAAAATGTTGAGGAAAGAAATACGATATTATATCATATCCCTGAACAAAGCAACCACCTTCCTATAAAGAAATCACTAAAGAGTTACTTTGTTGCTTTTTAATAAAGTCCTGTTTAGGCATCAGACTTTAAACTAAATGTTGATAGTGCCTAATTTCAACTCCCAAGTAAATGAAAACAGCTTATGTGTCGAGATGAATTCTCTTTGGCCGCAATGGATACCATTTCCTCTGGGGGCAGTCTTTAGTTTGTTTTCTTTTCAGCACCAGGTTACTAGTTTTCCTGGTAGAAGTCTCTGTTGGTGTGGTTTCTATTTGTGTTATAAAACTCTCAGATTTAACATCTGGCTTCCTGTCACAACTGGAAAAGACTTCTTGGTGGATTCTCTGGAGCTGGATAATAGGCTGCATCTTTAAAACTTGGGAAAATCCATCTCCTTGTTCAATTAACACAGGCAAGGACTTTGAAAAGCAAACAAAGCAACAGTCAACATTGACCTCGGTTTGAAACACAAACACACAGGGACGAACACAACACTACAGCATCTTCACTCTTCAGGTCAGGACATTTTCTAAGACCTAATTTTTGGGGTGGTGGATACTCAACTTCACCTTTAAGTATGAGTTTTAGGAATTTTAACTAAAAGCTAAGACTAAAAAGAATGCTCTATTCCTTCAAATGCCTGGTAGTAAAAGAAAACTTCAGCAAAGCAGGAGGTAACAGGATTTCAGAGCTAAGTATTTAATGTCTGAAATTCCACATTTAGGAAAGTATTTCAGAAATCTTAATCATCAAGAGCAACGATCAGCACATTTTTCTGTAAAGGGCCTTATAAATATTTTACGATCTCAGGGGCTTATAGTCCTGCCACAATTATTCAGTTCTTTCACTGTAATGTAAAGAAGTCACGGACAATAGACAAGTAAATGAATAGACATGGCTGTATCCCAATGAAGTTTTATTTCCAAAAAAGAAGCACTAGGCTGGTTTTTAGCCTGGCCCCCTAGTCTGTCAACTCTCAATTAGGAATACGCTATGAGAAAATCATGGAATCAATACAAACCATAAAAGAACATTATAACAATTTTAAGAACGGGGAGATCATGAAGGAGATTATGAATTTGCATGTACTAGAAATAAAATGTTTTCCTGATTATATAAAATAATGCCAAAAATATATACAATTTTGTAATAATAAAACTCCAATTTGATATGCTGTATAATACAGTGGCTAAGAGTATAGGCTCTGGAGCCAAACAACCGGGGTTTAAAGCCTGGCTGAGTCACTTGTCTGGGCAATCTAATCTGCCTCTCTGGGCCCCGGTTTCCTCGTCTGGAAAACAGGGTAGCAGCAGCACCCATCTCACAGGGCCACTGGAAGGACTGAATGAGGTAGCACATGTAAAGCAGTCAGATGGCACCTGGTCCACACTAAATGCTCACTAACTGCTGGCTGGTATTAGTGCCTGAAATTGCTTGTCAAACTGTTAACTCTCAGAACTCAAAAATATAGCCAACCTTAAAAGAAGCCAGGTATGATACCGGTACATAGAAGGTACCTAATAAATGGTAGTTATTCTGGATGTTACTGTTGCTTAATTAAAGATCTATTCATTTAATTCATTAAAGATCTATTTTTAAAACTACTAAGAATTCCTATTACAACAGACTAAAACACATGTGGTTGTTGAGAGCAAATACCCAGCTACACACTTTGTTCGTTTTATGTTTTGGCACGCAGCTGTTACCTTCATGGCTCGACTGATTTCCTCAGCCATTGCCTCTCCTCTGCACTTCAGGCTGTCCACACGGGAGGCTGCGAAGAAACCACCAAACAGTGTTTTAGGTTTTTCACCACCTAATAACAAGTCATCAAGGACACGCAGATGCATTCTAGTTAAACACCTGTCAGGACTGTCCACCTTAGCTCAATCTTTCTTAGCGCAGTTTGACATCTAGTAAAACAAATGTCCTATTAAATTTCACCGGGGATTTGAAAAGACTGAAAACACAGAATAGACAGTAGAGTGAAATCAGGAGTTATACGCC